AGACTTATCAACACCATTACAGCAAGTATTGACCATTGTGAGGCATACATTGAAGATGTCATTGTGGCTACAGTTGAGTGGGATGATCAGATGAAGACCACGAGAATGTTATTTGACTCTCTAACCCATGCTAAATTGACCCGTGCTAGAGTCAACTTGTGAAGGCCACAGTGGTGTATATAGGACATATTGTGGGACAAGGTGAAGATAAACCTTTCCAGGCCAAAGTAGAAGCAGTGAACATGTTTCCAGAACCTACAACCAGGAAAGAATTGATGAGATTCTTAGGGATGGCTTGATACTAATTATATTATAGCCAGTTCTGTCAGAACTTTTCTCAAGTAGCAGCTCCATTGACCAATCTACTGAAGAAAGACTGCAAATTTAACTGGGAAAAGTCTCAACAACAGGCCTTTGAGAAGATCAAAGCTATTCTAACTAATGCACCGGTGTTGGTTGTGCGAAACTTCAACAAGACCTTCAACCTCTATGTTGATGCCTGTGACATAGGTGCAGGTGGAGTACTACAGCAAGAAGATGATTTGGGGATAGACCATCCCATTTGCTACTGTAGCAAAACATTTGACACTCATCAGAGAAACTACTCAATCATAGAGAAAGAGACTTCGGCCCCGATACTAGCTCTCCAACACTTTGAAGTGCACCTTAGTACAACGGTGACACCAGTACTTGTGTTCACAGATCACAATCCCCTTGTTTTTGTGAAGAAACTTAAGAACAAGAATCAGCGACTAATGCGCTGGAGCATTCAGCTTGAGAACTTTGATCTGGACATTCAGCACATCAAGGGAAAAGACAATATATTGGCTGATGCACTCTCACGTGCAGTGTGAACAGAGGTGGCAATTTATATTCACCCTTATGAACTGAAAAACAAAACCAGCTATTTTTTCTAACTGTCGAGCATGAGTTTCTGAATTACGATGTGTGATCCTGATGTGTCTGTGTTTTATGACAATTGATGTACATAGTTTAGTTGTGAAGTTTTTCAACATGCAAAACTTCTTTTCAAGAGGGGGAATGTTATTAGAATCCATTATATATGTATGTGTACTTTTCATGAAGAATATATTAAATGTACTTTGATTTCATGAAATGTATATTCATACCTTTTTATCCCCCCGGGCATATAATGCAGGGGGATGTAGCGATCAGCCAGTCTGTCTGTCCATCCGTAATCATTTTTCTGGGGCAGAATTCCAAAACCATTCAGTGTATTTGATCGAAACTTGGCAAATCTATCAGGCACATACTGAAGTGGTGCCTTTTGATATTTTGGGATTTTTCTAATTTTTATTTTTTTAAATTTTTATGGAATGAAGTTGGACACAGACTCCATTGGGGATGGGGTTTGTTTCTGGAGCAGAATTCGAAAACCATTCAGTGTATTTGATCGAAACTTGGCAAAGCTATCAGGCACATACTGAAATGGTGCCATTTGATACATGTATTTTGGGATTTTTCTAATTTTTATTTTTTATGATTTTTATGGAATGAACTTGGACACAGACTCAATTGGGGATGGGGTTTGTTTCTGGAGCAGAATTCGAAAACCATTCAGTGTATTTGATCGAAACTTGGCAAAGCTATCAGGCACATACTGAAGTGGTGCCTTTTGTTACATAGGGATCTTTCTAATTTTTTATCTTTTAAATTTTTTATGGAATGAAGTTGGACATAGACTCAATTGGGGATGGGGTTTGTTTCTGGAGCAGAATTCGAAAACCATTCAGTGTATTTGATCGAAACTTGGCAAAGCTATCAGGCACATACTGAAGTGGTGCCTTTTGATATTTTTTTTTAAAGAATTTTTATTTTTTACAATTTTTATGGAAAGAAGTTGGATCTAGACTCCATTGGGGAACAGGTTCGTTTCAGGGCCAGAATTCGAAAGCCATTCAGTGGGTAAACAATGTATGCTTCTTAAAGGGGCACTGATCTAACGCAATTCCCCGGGACTGGTTGTTGGCTTTGTTATTGTTTTTTCCCAGTGAGTACCCGGATGTATAGCAGAAATCTAGACTAGTTCGCGACCTCTGCTGCGCCATTCGTAAGCGCATTAGTCACTTTTATGGATACCGGTAGTAATAAAGGTGTATGGTCACACTGATCAACAAAATGAAATACAGTTTTCGAGATAATAAGGAAATGTAGGTATCTTTGTGGGTAGCATCGGTAATGGTGACGAAGTTTTGATAAGTCACTTGCTTGGTAATTTTGCGATTTTCGTTTACACTATTTTTACTTGCAACACAAAGTAAATATTTCACCTGAGCATTGCTTTTTTTATAGTGTGTATATTATTTTACTGTCAAAATGTGTAACATATTTATTAAACGTCTAAATATTCAGTTATTTTACAAATTGACTGAAAAACATTTCCATCTGTATTATTATGATAACGAATTCCAAACATTTTGATGTTTAATGTCATCACCAAGAGACTGAAAATGTTACGTTGAAAAGTACATTTCTATGTTGTTTGGCTTCTAATCCTACATAATAATCTGTTGTGGTGTTTGTAGGCCCTTTTGATAGTCTTAATCAATCTGGACAGATTTGTTTAGTCAAAATGACTGACTGACTGACTGATATAGAAGATTTAACGTGCGCTTTCCGACTGTAGCGTATTTCGCACACGGCCCTGGCCGGACCATTTAGTATATTCCGAAAAGGGTGAAAGCGGTGTGTGCAACCCAAGAGGGGACCTTTTAGGGGTTGCTTGTATTGAATTTTTGGAATTTTTAAATTTGGAATAAAGGACTGAAATATTTACACATTTTATATATTGCCTGAGAGAATCACATTTTACAAATTGACGGTAATATATACACGCTTACAAAGGAAAAGACCTGTGAAAACAACGTCTATCGCGCATTGAAGAATTTCCCAACCAAGACGTAGAGAAACAATAACGAATTATCGGTTCTAATGAAGGAAAACAAAATGCAAATACCATAATTACAACCTACCAAATTTATGTGTATAAATTTTAGGCAGCTTCCTTGTTCGAGGAATGTATCCGTGAATATCTACACAAAGGAACAATATCCCACTCGTCTGCAGCTGTACAAAGAAACTTATTCGATGTCACGTGCCTCTGTAAAAATCAAATATTTTAAAAGATATATATCGTTTCGGGATATTATAACACGTGTTCGTTCCTCAACTGATCACTTGGATTGTTTCAGGTGTTTCACATAGGTGTCAAGTCTCAAGGGTCGGCTGAGAAAGCCCACGTGACAACTATTTTCATAACGTCCACGGTTCCTAAAACATCCAGAGTGATAGATAACAATGATCAATCAATCAACGTATTATCAGTTAACCCTTTGAACAAAGTATGTTGTTTTTACATCGGCACTTCACGCCATGATATGAGTGTATTCCCTTAGTTTTAGTAAACCTAGACATGTAAACACTCACTTTTGACATATCCACTGTGCAAGATAACAGTGATTAATCAATCAACGTATTTTCTGTTAATCCTTTGATGACTAGGAACGATCCGTTGATATACAAAAAAAAGTAAATCAACTGATCATTCATCTCTTGCTGGGCTGCCACGTGCATATTATATAACACACATTTCACCTCACTTTAAACCTGGATTTAGATTGAATAATTACCCCCGACACAATAAATGCCAAATGGGAACCTTTGTCAGGTAATCTAAGTGATGCTACCACTAATTGTACCTGTAATAAATTCATTAACTGAGCATCAAGTGAATGACGACAAATACACAAGTGTAGGGGTTATACGAGAAAACGTGGATGACAAGGGAGTAGTAATCGTATTATCGACGCAATCCGAAATCCGAAAATGCTTTCACTGCATGGATACTATTTTTAGTATTAAACTATAACCATCTGGGGTATTTCCAAATGACGACATCCGATGAGCTCCGCCGTTCTTTTTGTCTGTTTGTTTGGGCTGAAGAAATTAATTAACATGCGCCCTTTGTCGAAATCTTTATAGATCACAGTTAACCAATCAGTGTTTATGCAAAAATGCGTAAAACAAATATTGCCTCCAGCCTCCAAGTTTATTTAACTGTCCTTGCAGACGGTAGCCCAGTCTCTGGTCACGCTCAGTTGCGTTGCGTATCATCCGGGTACTCACGGGGGAAAAAACAATAACAAAGGCAACAACCAGTCCGGGGAATTGCGTTAGATCAGTGCCCCTTTAAGGGACATTCAACTGTTGACTCATTACATACAGAATTCCACATTTACTAGTGGTTACTTTACAGACAGCTGCCGGGGGGATATGTCATTTTTCTGATGACTCTTGTTATAAATTATGTTGCTTGTGTACAGATTGCCAGTGATCAACACTGACCAATTACACACTTCACTTCACATTGTCTATATGTAAGCCCTGGTAAGCTCACAGCCAAGTAATCCTAATGGAATTAGAGTGTTTGAAAGAAAAAGAGCAGACAGAAAGAGAAATTAGAGCTAGAACTTAAGATAGTGAGGTGAGGTGAAATGGGGTTTAACGTTGCGTCAAAGATTATTGCACTTATATAGCGACGTGCATGCACGTGTGTGTGTTTGTGTGGCTGCTTGTACTAGTCTGGACTGATGCCGATTTATAGTGCTAGCTCACTGAGATACCATACCGCAGTTTACCATGAATACCCCACTCAGACACAGTATACTGACTCCGAGCCGACCAGTCCTTGTTTTAGCCCCTTAATGCCGAGCGCCAGACAGGATAACAACAAGTACCATCTTTTAACGTCTTTTGGTATGACGTGGTCGGGGATCGAACCCCGGACCTTCCGCTCTCCGGGCGGACACTCTACCACTAGACCACGGAGGCGGTCAGAACTTAGGATAAAGCAGCAGTCTAACTGGTGAGAAGGAGAAGAGATTTGATGTGGCAAAATTTGTCAAACTTATACCCCCCTTTCAGGAAAATGAGGTAGACAAGTTCTTTTTGCACTTTGAAAAGTTAGCTACTAATTTAAAATGGCCATTAGAAGCATGGACTGCACTTATTTAGAGTCTGAGGCCTATCGTCAAAAGTTTAGAAACTGCAGAAAACATGAAGGGCAGACTTATGTTGAGTTTGCCAGAACCAAGGTTGTGATGTTTGATAGATGGTGTTCCTCCAAAGAGATAAACAAAGACTATGAGAAGTTGAAACAACTTATGCTAGTTGAGGAGTTCAAAAGGTGTATTCCATGTGACATTAATACTTATTTGGATGAACAAAAGGCTGAATCATTAGAACAAGCAGCTACTCTAGCAGATGACTATGTACTTACACATAAAGCTTCATTGCGAAGTGCAGCTTACCTTGGTAGAGGAAGGTTTAGTTCTTTCAGTCAGTCAAATGCTACAGGGAGTAATTCTTCATGGTCAAATAACAGAGGTTGTAACTTTACAGGTAGTGGATTTTTTCAGTCATCATTTAAAGGCCCTAATAATAACCAGGTGTCAGGTTTGGCAAGTATTTCTCCTCAGGGAAACAACACATCCATGTCGACAGGAATGATGATTTCAGGACCAGTTTGTTCATATTGCAAGAAAAAGGGACATTTGATAAGTGCATGTTGGAAACTAAAAAACAAAGATCAGAATGAACAGGTGCCACATGCTCTGGCTTCAGTGATATCACGCCAAATGTCTGGACTTGATGCTGAAGATGTGCAAGTAAATAACACAACCTTTAATTCTGAAAAGGGTTATTCACCTTTTATGTCCAGAGGATTGGTATCTTTAGTGGATGATAGCTCTGTCTCAAAACCTGTAGATATCCTGAGAGATACTGGAGCCCTCCAGACTTTTATGCTAGAAGATGATCTACCATTTTCTGAGGAAACGTACACTGGAACCAGCGTACTCATGTGAGGAAAAGGTGGTTACATTAAGGTACCTCTTCATGTAGTCCATTTGAAATCAGATTTAGTGACAGGATGTATTACAGTTGGAATCATGTCAACTTTACCAGTGCCAGGTGTCAGAAGATAAGGTTGTATCTGATCTTCCTAAAGTTAGTGAGATCCCAACCGATAAGCAGGAAGAGAGAGAAGAGTTAAATGTATATCCTTCGTGTGCTGTTACTAGGGCTAGGGCTCAACAGAAAGCTAAGTCTGACTTCCCTAGATCCAGTGAAATTGATTTAGCAGAGACTTTTATCAGTCATCCTGAGGAAATTGAAGATATGGAAATGTCACCTGCTAGTATGAGAAAAGTGGATGAATCAGATAAAAGGGGCAGATTGTTAGCTGAAGGGCTTAGATCTGAAGGTGATAAGTACAGTTTTGGGGAAGATTCAAGTGGAGTTATTTCTAGGGAGAAACTTATTGAAGAACAAAAGATGAATCCAGAACTTAGGTTGTTAAGAGACAAAGCTGTTTCAGAAAAAGATAGTGATGGGGAGGCAGTATGTTATTATCTGAAAGGAGATATTTTGATGAGGAAGTGGAGACCACCAGACTCTCCAGCAGATGAAGAAAGGACGATAGTGCACCAGATAGTCATTCCACCAGTGTATCAACATGAAGTTCTTAGTCTAGCCCATGATACTCTACTTGCAGGGCACTTAGGAGTTAACAAGACTTCTCAAAAGATCTTAACTCACTTCTATTGGCCAGGAGTTCAGAATGATTTCAGAAATTTCTGTAGAACATGTCACACTTGTCAGATGGTTGGTAAACCAAATCAGAAGATTGCAAAATATCCTTTGCAGCCAATTCCAACAGTTGAAGAACCCTTTAGCAGGGTTATAATAGATTGTGTCGGACCATTCCCTCGCACACGGACAGGAAATGCCTATTTGTTGACAATAATGTGCGCATCAACACGTTTTCCAGAAGCTATTCCACCGAGGAATATTTAGGCTCCTCTCATTATCAAGGCTTTAATTAAGTTCTTCTAACTATATGTCTGGAATATTTCAGCAGGTTATGTATGAGTTGGATATCACTCAGTATAGTTCAAGTGCATATCATCCCGAGTCACAAGGTGCTTTAGAGCGGTTCCACCAAACTCTGAAGAACATGCTAAAGGCTTATTGTGAGGACAATCAGAAAGATTGGGATGAAGGGATTCAATACATATTGTTTGCAGCTAGGGAATCTGTGCAGGAGTCACTGGGCTTCAGTCCTTTTGAGTTGGTATTTGGACGTACAGTTCGGGGGCCATTAAAGTTCCTAAAAGAGAAGTGGTTAGATGATGACAGGGAAATCAGTTTGCTTGATTATGTTTCAAACTTCAAAGAGAGATTCATTAAGGCTTGTAGCATGGCAAATCAAAACTTGCAGGTTAGCCAAGAGAAGATGAAAACCTGGTATGATAAAAAGGCAGAACACAGGGAGTTTGCACCAGGTGATAAAGTCCTCATTCTTTTACCAATACCAGGACACCCACTAAGAGCTAGGTACTATGGCCCTTACTTTGTACACAAGAAATTGAGTGACAAAGATTATGTCATAGATACTCCAGATCGGAGAAAGTGCAAAAGAGCTTGTCATATCAATATGATGAAAACTTACTATGATAGGTGTGCTGAAAGTGTGTCACAGAATGTGAGTGTTAGCACCATAGACACAGTAGAGATAACTGAGGAGGTCACATTAACTAGAGACACTTGTACTACGAGCAAGGGAGAACCTGAGGTGAAGCTTAATAACTCAGATGTCTTAAACAATCTGGATGCTAAGTTATCACATGTGACCAGTGAACAGAAGATAGAACTGGAAGAGTTAATTCATGAGTGCTCACATTTATTTGCAGATGTCCCATCTAGGACAGATTGGGGGCACAGATGGCCGAGTCGTCTAAGGCGCCGCGATTCGCTGTGCAGAGTTGCATCCCTTAGGCGCGCCAGAAACCTATGATTGTGGGTTCGAATCCCGGTTCGCCCCAATTATGTTTCTAGGTTTGGCAGCACCATACCCGTGCTCGTGGGTTTTACCGAAGTGGTAAACGTCTGATCTAAATCACTTGGGGCTTTCCTCCCACATTACGCAGACATGCCGTGATATGACTGGAATACTGTTAAAAGCGGCGTTAAACCAAACTCACTCACTCACTCACTCACTCTAGGACAGATTGTATCTTTCATGACATAGATGTAGGGGATGCAACTCCTGTCAAGCAGCACACATATCGTGTGAATCCTATCAAGTAAGCTCAACTTACAACAGAGATTCAGTATATGTTGGACAATAATATCATCGAACCCAGCACCAGTGCTTGGAGTTCACCATGTATTCTTGTACCAAAGGCTGGGGGAGGCATTCGTCAGTGTAATATTTACAAACGTGTTAATGCCCTTTCTAAATCTGACTCTTACCCAATGCCTAGAATAGATGATTGTATTGATAGGATAGGAAATGCTAGGTATGTAAGCAAGTTTGATTTATTGAAGGGATACTGGCAGATCCCGTTAACAGATAGGGCAACAAGGTATCAGCTCTAGTCACACCAGAAGGCTTTTATCAGTATAAATGTGATGCCTTTTGGATTGAAGAATGCCCCAGCTACCTTTCAAAGACTTATCAACACCATTACAGCAGGTATTGACCATTGTGAGGCATACATTGAAGATGTCATTGTGGCTACAGTTAAGTGGGATGATCAGATGAAGACCACGAGAATGTTATTTTGACTCTCTTACCCGTGCTAAATTGACCCGTGCTAGAGTCAACTTGTGAAGGCCACAGTGGTGTATATAGGACATGTTGTGGGACAAGGTGAAGATAAACCTTTCCAGGCCAAAGTAGAAGCAGTGAACATGTTTCCAGAACCTACAACCAGGAAAGAATTGATGAGATTCTTAGGGATGGCTGGATACTAATTATATTATAGCCAGTTCTGTCAGAACTTTTCTCAAGTAGCAGCTCCATTGACCAATCTACTGAAGAAAGACTGCAAATTTAACTGGGAAAAGTCTCAACAACAGGCCTTTGAGAAGATCAAAGCTATTCTAACTAATGCACCTGTGTTGGTTGTGCCAAACTTCAACAAGACCTTCAACCTCTATGTTGATGCCTGTGACATAGGTGCAGGAGGAGTACTACAGCAAGAAGAGGATTTGGGGATAGACCATCCCATTTGCTACTGTAGCAAAACATTTGACACTCATCAGAGAAACTACTCAATCATAGAGAAAGAGACTTCGGCCCTGATACTAGCTCTCCAACACTTTGAAGTGCACCTTAGTACAACGGTGACACCAGTACTTGTGTTCACAGATCACAATCCCCTTGTGTTTGTGAAGAAACTTAAGAACAAGAATCAGCGACTAATGCGCTGGAGCATTCAGCTTGAGAACTTTGATCTGGACATTCAGCACATCAAGGGAAAAGACAATATATTGGCTGATGCACTCTCACGTGCAGTGTGAACAGAGGTGACAATTTATATTCACCCTTATGAACTGAAAAACAAAACCAGCTATATTTTCTAACTGTCGAGCATGAGTTCCTGAATTACGATGTGTGATCATGATGTGTCTGTGTTTTATGACAATTGTTGTACATAGTTTAGTTGTGAAGTTTTTCAACATGTAAAACTTCTTTTCAAGTGGGGGAATGTTATTAGAATCCATTATATATGTATGTGTACTTTTCATGAAGAATATATTAAATGTACTTTGTTTTCATGAAATGTATATTCATACCTTTTTATCCCCCCGGGCATATAATGCAGGGGGATGTAGCGATCAGCCAGTCTGTCTGTCCATCCGTAATCATTTCCTTTTCTGGGGCAGAATTCCAAAACCATTCAGTGTATTTGATCGAACTTGGCAAATCTATCAGGCACATACTGAAGTGGTGCCATTTGATACATGTATTTTGGGATTTTTCTAATTTTTATTTTTTTAAATTTTTATTGAATGAAGTTGGACACAGACTCAATTGGGGATGGGGTTTGTTTCTGGAGCAGAATTCGAAAACCATTCAGTGTATTTGATCGAAACTTGGTAAAGCTATCAGGCACATACTGAAATGGTGCCATTTGATACATGTATTTTGGGATTTTTCTTATTTTTATTTTTTATGATTTTTATGGAATGAACTTGGACACAGACTCAATTGGGGATGGGGTTCGTTTCTGGAGCAGAATTCGAAAACCATTCAGTGTATTTGATCGAAACTTGGCAAAGCTATCAGGCACATACTGAAGTGGTGCCTTTTGATATTTTTTTTTAAAGAATTTTTATTTTTTACAATTTTTATGGAAAGAAGTTGGATCTAGACTCCATTGGGGAACGGGTTCGTTTCCGGGCCAGAATTCGAAAACCATTCAGTGGGTAAACAATGTATGCTTCTTAAGGGACATTCAACTGTTGACTCATTACATACAGAATTCCACATTTACTAGTGGTTACTTTACAGACAGCTGCCGGGGGATATGTCATTTTTCTGATGACTCTTGTTATAAATTATGTTGCTTGTGTACAGATTGCCAGTGATCAACACTGACCAATTACACACTTCACTTCACATTGTCTATATGTAAGCCCTGGTAAGCTCACAGCCAAGTACAGGCGGATGTTATGCAATTGTGGCTTGGCTATTGCTCGACAGGTAGACAAAGTGGTCAGTTCCCAGGTCGGGTTTCGGTGTTAACTGACATGCCATGTTGGCAAGATTTGAAACTTTAATTGTGTATGCCATGTCGGCAATTGTGAACTAAGGTGAATTATTTATTACATGAAACATTCACTGGATCTTGTTCGGAAATGATGGGATATTACAGCCTAAAGTAATACTGTTTTTATTGTGATTGATACTTGCGTTTGCTGTTTGTGAATAATATGAAGCTTGATTAGACTGCCAGTATTAAATTCTTTTTAAATTGTTGTGTGATCTCTCCTTGTTATGTAAGGAAACTGTTTAGTGGGTCCACACGTAACATGTATCAGTGACCAAATGTCCGAAACAATTCCCTATTCCCGGGACTTATACCATTCCCTTGTATTTTTCATATGAACACTTCACATGTCTTTGAATTTGTTTGTGCCCCCGGTGGGCCAGGATAAGCCTACGCCTTCGCGAACACGTGGTATATAGTAATGTTCCTCCTGCATTAACTTCCAGAAAAAACGATAAAGCTGCAGCACAGAGTAAAATGGCATCCAACACACTTTTTGAGTGTCTTCCAAATACATTGCAATGTATACAATAGTTGTTCAGTGGGATACGATGAGTCCATTGAAAATGGCAGTTGCTGTTTCAGTACACAGTTCCCAATTTTTAGGGGAAACATAATAGGGCTTTTCATTCGCTTGCACATACCAAGGCCCAATCACAGTTCACTTCAGCAAATGAATGGCTTTTTCATCTCTGTATGTTTCAGGTTACCATGTTCAAGAAACCTTTGACAACATAATCCGTAAGTGTAGCATATATTTTAATCCAATATTGAAGTGAGGAAGTGACAGACAGCCCATGACGGCACTAATCTTAAAACAAATTAATATACAAGCGGAAAAGTTCCTGTGCATCACTGACTATCATTGTAAATAATAACTAAAGCGAACAAAGAACGATTTTGAAACATATTGATGCACTGATGACAATGAAATATTAATTCACCATGACTTTTTCAACACATGTATTCTGTAAAGGTCATCTCAGGCTGAAAGATACCAGGTTGGGTCAATTGTCAGTTCACAAGTCAGTATGACCACCATTAGCAGTGACACAAGCTTGACAACGGCGCCTCACTGACGACACAAGACGATTGAGACAATTGTGAGATGTCATTCCAGTTCTTGACCAAGGCTGTCGCAGCTGTACCAGTTGTTTTGGAAGTCGGCATTACATTCACCACACACATATTACATGGTCGACAGGCCAAGGGAGTGCTGAGGTGTTCTGTTGTCCAACAAAGTTTGTGTTCACACGTGAAGGCATGCATTATATGCTGTAAAATGATGTGACGTCCAAAGTCTGAAGAAATCAGAGGACATGGTGATGGATAACGTCGCCATTCTACCGTACACCTGTCCAATTGCCATCGATGACTTCTAGTACCCTCCCTCCATCGAATTCAGAACGTTGGATAACACAGTCAACGTAACGTTCCATTCGACGTCCATAACGGCTGTCAAGGTGAAACCTGGACTCATCTGTGAAGAGGACTTACCTCTCTGCTGTGACCCGAACCTCAAATGTTGTCTTGACCATGCCAGACGTGCAGTTCGATGACTGTTCAATCGATCCCTAAGCAGACCTAAGCCTGGGATACTGCGGGCTGTCTAAGCTGCAGTGTCTAGCCCGTTACGCAAGTGAATCAGACCGATATGATTATCCTGCCGACGTGACGTCCAGAACATGGTCGATCCCTGGTGTTGCCAGTCTGTTGGTACTGACCCCAGAGTGACTGCATGGTGATATGATTATCCTGCCGACGTGACGTCCAGAACATGGTCGATCCCTGGTGTTGCCAGTCTGTTGGTACTGACCCCAGAGTGACTGCATGGTGATATGATGGACGCCAAAACGCCTAGCAACTACATTTTGTGCATTTCCGTTATAAATTTTAAGATAGGCGTGGACATCACGTTTACGAGTTTTGGCCGTCAAGTAAAGTTCCTTTTCAATCTTAAAATAATGCAACGATTTACTCTGCTTTTGAATTAACTCGGTCCCATGTGTACTGTGGATGTGTGACGAATTTCGACCACGTGGGATGACCCGGATGCCATTCGGTTTCAGGGTCATCATTGGTATTGATTATAAAGGTTTTACATGTGATTATCATGCATGATTCTGTAAAATTCAGGGCCATGTTATTCTAATGTGATTCAATTTATGATGCACAGGAATGTTTTCCCGCCAGTATACCTTACTGTTCAAACAAAACGTAACTTTTTTATTTGTAATTTTAATTTGTTACAACACTGTGCATATGAATCATCATACCTTTTTCATAAAAACATAATGTTTAATTCATCACCGTGATGACATACGACATATGGATACAATAAGTTATGTGATAATGTATATTTTACTTTTAGAATCAACCCAGCTTCTCATACGGCACGATGACCCTTCACAACATGTGTCTACATTTGCTGAGAGAGCAGCCCTCAAGATTCTCAAATCAAATGGATGCATTTATATTAAGGGGAAATCTGGTTCAGGTAAATCGAAGATTGGGTTAAAACTTCTTGATGATGTAGCCAGGGAGAAAAGTGTACAACCTGCCATACTTACCTCATTCAGACAATGGAATTTGATCCCACAATCTAAGGAAAACAAACTAAAGTATGTTGTTATGATTGAAAACATTTTTGGATGCAGTAATTTTGTGCAGGCCAGGGTAGAAGAATGGAGCAGGCTGTTTGAAATCATGTGGCCAGCTGTGGAATCTGGACGCATCTATCTCATTTTAACATCCAGACCAGAAATCAGTGCTCAGTGTGAGAGTCGTGTGAAGAAGTACAAACTGATGGAGAACATTCAGTGCATCACTCTGGACTCGGGGACATACGCTCTCAGGAATGGAGAGAAGAAGAAACTGATGAGGATGTATTGTGGGAAATTAACATTCAGTGATGAGGAAATCGGAAAAGCAATAGAAGTGGACGGGGCTCTGGGCTTTCCCCAATGCTGCAGGTTCTTTTCCAGGAGTAAGAAAGCAAAGGATAAAGGTATTCAGTTTTTCTACAAGCCATATGAATACATAACAGAGGAAGTGGAACTACTTCAAGAAAGTGATCCCCTTGGATATCTGGTACTTCTTCTTGTGTTGATGAATGGTGGTCACTTGGCGAATACTCCAGTGAGGTCTTCAAATACGACACATCAGATCGAAACTCTCATTGACTTATGTAGTCTTTCATCTAAGCCGAGTTTAAGGGATATTTTGATGAAGGCTGAGTCACTCTGTGATGTTTATTTACAGAACATTGACAATAACTTTCAGTTTCATCATCAGTCAATCTTTGATGCTGTTTTTGTTTTTGTGTCAAGAATATATCCAGACATGTTTCTTGGATTATGCCCAGCAAAGTTGCTCGTAGAACTGGTAAAGACAGAGATACATGGATCAACGTCAAATGAAGTTGTTGTCATAGTTCCTAGGGAAGATTATGGCATTCTTGCTGACAGAATCACAGAGCTACTTCTGTCTGAAGACGCTTTGGTAGTCCTCGACCACCCTGCCCTGCACGATGAAGAGTTTGCAAATGTCATGTTTGAAAAATGGAAACATGAGAATAAACTACACGGCATACTGACATTCATAATGCCTAACCAGTTAGAAATCAAGATTGGCCAACCAGTATCTAATAAATGCTTGTTCAAATGCAAATTCATCCTCCCATGTCTGTTACTGAAACAGATCAGAAAGCTTGCACATTTATTGACTGCCACTCTTAATGATGACTCTCCTCCAGACATGCTCACAGAGATCTTGGCATGCACAGTGTATACGAAAGATTTAGCTTTATCCAGCATGTTATTGAACATGGGAGCATCATCAGATGAATGTTGTTTCCGTGCTTTATGTGGATCGCCCTACACATCAGAAGACACTGATGAGATTGCCAAACATATTCTTTCTGAAGGTACTGACTACACAGAATTGGAAGATATGTTTTGTGTTGCTGTTTTGAAGGAAAATAGTCTTGTTGCTCAATATCTCTTTGAAAGTAAACTCAAAAAGAAGGAAATGAAAATATTAAATCATTGGTTAGAGAGTCTTTGTGAACTGCTTTCTAACACGAACGATAATGTAAAAGATATCAGTGAATCTAATAGAACAATGGCAGATATCACAGAGAAAATGATTGAAACAGCATGCATGTCTGACCCCGAATACCTGCTCTGGAAGGCAGCAACGCATCCTGTATCTATTATCTTACAACATCTGCTCAAGATGGATCTTGATGTTAATGAGGTGTTTTTGGGAAGCAAGCCTCTGCATCAAGCTTTGAGGTTTGGTGTGGCTGATAACGTGGCTCTTCTTTTGGAGAATGACGTTGACATCTGTAAGACCAAAGACAATACAGTGTTTCATTTGGCAGCAAAGTCGGAAGTTGACAGTGAAGAGAAAACTTACATACTTTGCTCATATTTAAAATCTTGTAAGATCGTCATCCCAACTTCTCAAGAAGATTCAAACCTCGCTGAAGACTTAAGAGATTCCGAAAATCCAGATCGTCAAGGAGATCAAGAGAATCCCGAAAACAAAGAAGATGTAGAAGATACAGACGATCAAGAATATAGAAAAGATCATGATGTTGACGAATTAAAAGAACAAGAAGATTCAGAAGATTTGGACAACGAAGAAGAAAACGAAAATGTCCCTGACACTTTGGAAAAGTTCCTCATTACCGAAAGTCAATATGGAATGCCAATTCATTCAGCATGCCATGCTGAAAATGCTGGAAGTCTAAGGATATTGATTCAAGCAGGTGCTGACGTCAATATACAAACAGCTAAACTAGAAACGCCACTTCATGTGGCAGTGAAGAAAAGATCTGTGGAGTGTGTAAGATTGCTATTACAAGCCAATGCATCAGCTGATACGATTGATTCTGACATGAATTTGCCATTAACATGTTCAGACAAAACTGATTTTGAGATAGTAAAGGCTCTTGTTAATGCTGGCACTGACGTAAACTACTCAGGACACAGTGGAAGGACATGCATGCATTTGTCATTACAAAATGATGACTTAGACACAGTCAGATTCTTATGCGACCATGGAGCTGATGTCAATACTGTCAAATCTGATGGAGTCACAGTGTTGATGGTGGCTGCGCTCCATGGAGAGATACACATGGTGAAGCTTCTGTGTGAGAAAGGAGCTAGGCTTGACAAAAGAGACGAAAATGGAGAGACGGTGTTGCACAAAGCTGCCAAATCTGAAATAGATGCTGCAGAGAAGCTGCTGTACCTGTTAGAGGATCCACATGCTCCTATTGATGTAGAGGACAATGCAGGGAGGACTGCTGTGTTTCCTGCAGTACAGTCGGGGGATATTGAGGTGATACAAATTATTCATGACAAGGGGTTTGACTTACTGAAGTCTGATAAAGATGGAAACAATGCCTTACATGCAGCATGCAAAGAAGGTGTTCGTGACTTTGATGCTTTATCCACAGTATTTGGAAACAGCTTTGGACACATTAATCAGCAGAATACATTTGGTGAGACTGTCCTTTATCTTTTGGTCGACGGTAACATCTCCTGTGACTTAAAACCTCTTTTAGATAGAGGTGCGAAGCCCAACATAGCCAATGCAAAGGGTAGAACAGTTCTTCATTTGGCTGTGGAGAAAAAGAAACTTGAACTTGTTAAATTATTTCTACAGAGTGATGGTGACTCATGTGTTGCAGATATAATGGGCATGACACCACTTCACATTGCTTCTGAAAATGGAAATTGTGAAATGGTTAAGCTGCTCTTGAAGCACGGATCAGATCCAAATGCTGTGAATGAAACTGGTAGAACACCCGTCCACATTGCATCTGAAAACATACACGAAGGCTGTGTTCAGGAGCTCCTAAATGAAGGCGCCGATCCTTGTGTGGTAGATAAAAAAGGACTCACACCACTTCACCTGTGTGTGGGGGTTAACATCGCTATGAAAACACTTCAACACATGTTACCCCTTGCTTCTTATGGATTAGGAGAATCATTTTGGAGATCAATTCTAAATTCAAGAGATCGCATCATGAAGATGCTATTGGAAAACGGTGCCAATCCAAATATGTCTGACAATGAGGGCTATTGCCTTCTCTATGTTGCGTCTACCGAGCGAATTGCAGAATCCTCTGTTAAAATACTGTTAGAAGCAGGAGCAGATGTTTCTGCTTTGGATCCAGATGGGAGGTCACTTCTTCATGCTGTTGCTGAAAGAGGAACGCCTGAAGTGTATAAACTCCTGGTCGATAGTGGAGCTAATGAATATATGCGGGATCAAAAGGGAAAAACACCACTTCAAATCATCACGAAAAAAAATCGCCAAAGAAAACCATATGATCCAAACTCCTATGCAGACTTAATGCGAAATATGGGTTTATCAGTCCCACAATTGCAACCAAACCCATACACATTCGGTTTGGGTCAGCCATTCTTCAATGCGAGCCATAGACCTTGGCAACAAGATGCTCCAAACATCGTACGAGCCTCTGAGATGCCTGTTGCAGATCAAACTGATGTGGTGAGTCCCAATACAGAGGAGGAGGAGGCACATCCTGACATTGGACTTGTGAGAGAAGATAGAAGCAAAGGGAGGAGTGAAGGTGAAGGCCGAACAATAGTTTACCAGAGAGATGAAAGCATTGACAGTGACAGTGATTGAAGGATCCTGAATAGTATGACATTGAAAGACACTACTAGATATTGGATTAGATTGCAATTAGTGTCAATCAATTTAGAATAGATGTTCATAGACATTTTAAAGGTATACATATTATTTTATTTTTTTGTGTTCTTTATACCACGTTGATGTCAAATTATTAACTAAATAAGACATCTGTCAACACCACGCATTAGACATTCAAAGTTAAGTTTGGTGAACCAGGATTCGAACCCACAATCATAGGTTTCTGGCGTGGCCAAGGGACGCAACTTTGCACAGCAAATTGCGGCGCCTTAGGCGACTTGGCCACCCGTGCCCCCTCTGTACAAAGAGATATATTGTAAATGAACAAGCAAATCACTCGCTGATTAATATCTATACTCAATGCAATAAAGGGAAGACTTTACAGAGAGTATTCGAGACAAGTGGAATTAATACCATTTGAATTCTCATAACTCAAAGACCGCCTCCGTGGTAGAGCGTCCGCCCGAAGAGCGGAAGGTCCGGGGTTCGATCCCCAGCCGCTTCATACCAAAAGACGTTAAAAGATGGTACTTGTTGTTACCCTGTCTGGCACTCGGCATTAAGGGGCTACAACAAGGACTGGTCGGCTTGGAGTCAGTATACTGTGTCTGAGTTTGGTATTCATGTTAAACTACGGCATGGTATCTCAGTGTGCTAGCACTATAAATCGTCATCAGTCCGGACTAGTACAAGCAGCCACACACACACGTGCATGCACGTCGCTATTAAAGTGCAATAAACTTGGACGCGACGTTAAACCCAATTTCACCTCACCTTATAACTCAAAGGATTTGCTTAAGCTTTCAAGTATAAAAAAGATCTGAAATCGTTCAATTACAGTCAAATGACCAATTTCCTTCCACTGATGTACCTACCTGAACCTAAAAAAGGAGACCAGTGAGACCGCATGGCATATTTATTATGTCTGATGCAGTTCTGTCTTTTGACTCGTGACATATGTTAACTTTTCTTCTTTATGTCACTTTTATTGATATGCTTGGGTTTTTTGATTGATTCACACACTGTGATGAATACATCTCGGACTGTGACTTTTTTATATATACATTATAATAACTTACTGATTAATTAAATTATTGTCGGAAGTAGTATTTGTGTCTTACCAATGGTGGGCCATCAATTGCCCGTACTAAAGCAAGGAATAACCACCATATTGTCAAACGGCTATGAAGATAAAGAGTCATATCAAAGTCGATATCTCATGCGAGTTTTTGGCAATATGAAATTACTCTGAAATATGTTACTCCTACAGATATTCAGTTTTGAAACAAAACTGATGTTCTTTAAAAATATCAAGATATGCAGGCTACATCTGCCATGCCAATTGGGGCCTTTATTCACTGAATGCTAATCTGTATTCTTATAGCACGGTAGTTGGATTTGATCGTTTTAACAATTAAAAAACACAACTATAACACAACTGATCTAAATCAAGAATGTTATCCCATTTTACACATACTGGGAGATTTACTGTGGGTATAATCTTATCGTAAAAATATCCGGAACCTTTAGGCGCCACAAGTCTACCAATAGTGTGTTTAAATGTTGATTATATGATATGCATAACGGAATTATTTCTAATATCTTTCCATTATGTTTGGTAGAACCTGGCTGTAGTCAATAAGTGTGTCTTAATTTTATATTATATAAGTTAGTTGAAATGCATTATTTCATCTTCTTTGAAGATATCTTTAATAGTGTGTATTTGCTTTAACACCCAATTCCTAACAATAAAATATGTTGTTGTATTAAACTGATGGTTACAGCAAAGAGGTTCTGAGAGTGCTTCTCCAAGTTTGTGAAATGATTTTAATGTTTTTGTTCCCCATGCATCCAATACATCTCTCCAGTAAGTGTCAGCTAAATTTGCAATTTCTCTTAAATGTCTTTAGGTATACAACTAATGGCACTTCTGTTGGTTGTTAGATTTAGTGATATTTCTCAATGTTACAGCAACATACCTATATACCAATATTACAGTATCTTGGAAAAAGTTTGCAAGACTCTACTGAATATTTACCAATACCTGTTTTTTGTCATTTTTCATAGATTTTACCACCTTTGCCATTTCATCCATGTTAGATATTCTTTTTATGAAGTATCAAACTGTGATTTATTATACTGTTATGTAATACTGTTTTCGGTAATAAATTATTACTTTCATTAATCATTTTGTATAGGATAGCCAGATAAATTATTTTCTTGTACAACGGATCCGCCCATGTGATCTTTCACCGATTTATAATTTCTTTGGTATTTTTTATAAAATATGATTTTGTTTTAAATCATTCGCGAACAACATTGATCGATTTGTCAATGGAAGGGAAGCAACTCTTCCGCAATCATTTTCCGCACGAAGACCGTTTGGTCGGACGTGTTGTCAGTCACACGTCCTGTTGCCTCGCCTGTTTTGTTGTATGGGGTTATCTATTTATTAAATTTCAGTTTTAATAAGTGTATTTTATCACCAAGGTAAGATTATATAACTATCAGCATCAAATGTTGGCGTATTTCGTTGCCACATTTGCTATTGTTTGGTATCATCGATGTTGCACGGACATCTCACTCCATGTCGCTGGTATCAGTTTTCGGTGGCTGTTTTGGCGAGGTCGTCGTTGGGTTTAAATCACTTCAATGTGGATAGCGACAATGACGGGGATGGTGATGAAATATTTCATAGGCGGTTCCAGAGGTGGGGGTGTCCAGGGGTCACACAGGCCTTTAATGGTCTAAGTCGCCCTAAACCCAAATACCAGACAATACCATCACATGCCGCAATACCCGTGAAGAAAAGGTCTTAAGCAACCCATGCTTTCCGTAAATGGCGACTATGTTTGACTTAGAGGCGACTAACGGGATCGGGTCGTCAGGCTCGCTGACTTCGTTGATGCATGTCAACGATCCCAATTACGTGAATCGATGTGCATGACGTCAATCACAGGATTGTCTGGACCAGACTCGATTATTTACAGACCGCCGTCATATAGCTGGAATATTGCTGAGTGCGGCCTTAAACAACAAACAAACAATCAAACAAACAAACAAAAACATGCCACAAGCGGAAGTGTAAATATTGTCATTGGATGACTGCTGCGTCTCGGACAATCAAGATACTTTATTTTTGCAAACCAGTAACCGCAGTCGAGTATCGTTTGTGAACTTGTAATTGTTGGCGTTTTTTTTTGTACGGTTTTGCACAATGATGACAAAGTGCTTTATTCCAACGGGGCGAAGATCCGGGGTAGAATAGGTCTTAAGCAACCCATGCTTGCCGTAAAAGGCGACAATGCTTGTCGTAAGAGGCGACTAACGGGATCGGACTCGCTGACTTGGTTGAAGCATGTCATCGATCCCAATCGCGTTGATAGATGCTCATGATATCAATCACTGGATTGTCTGGTCCAGACTCGATTATTTACGGACTGCCGTCATATAGCTGGAATATTGCTGAGTGCGTCGTAAAACAACCAATCAACCATTATTCCAACGGTCACAAAACGGTCACAGAACAGCTTTCTAACCAAGAAGGGCGGTGGGTTAAGGTGTTCGCTCGTCACGCCAAAGACCCAGGTTCGATTCCCCACATTGGTACAATGTGTAAAGCCAGTTTATGGTGATATTGCTGAAATATTTCTAAAAACGACATAAAACCATACTCACTCGCTCACTCTAATCAAGAAAATAGCTGAAATGAAGCTTACTGATAAGAGTTGGTGAGTTGTCATCGAATGTCATGGCAACATGCTCTGCCGGGTCTGGTTTACGGCTTCAAAAAGGTTTACTTCTTGAGGTCCAGAAGTTGGTTCCTTTGACATATTCAAGGTTTTTGTTTTTTTCATCCATCCAAATTGGCCCCATAGATCCGTAATACAAACATATTATTTTATTATAGGGATATAGAAACGGGCTCCGTCCGTCCGTACGTGCGTACGTATGTACGTCCGTCCGTCCGTCCGTCCGTCACGTTTTGTTTCCGGAGCATAACTCATAAACCGTTCAATATTTTTTCATCAAACTTTGCAGGTCTGTCAGGTACATGCTGAACTGGTGCCTTTTGCTATTGAGAAATTTTAGAAATTTTTATTCTTTACGTTTCCATGGCAACAAGATGGACTTAGGTTCCAAACTCATCTTTTTTTAACAATTTCCATGACAAGTTCCACCTCGGTTTATAAAGGTTAGGGTTTGTTTAGATTTAATTATGTCATACATTCTGCAACAGGGGAGGGGGATATAGCCACGTTAGTGGCAAACTCTTGTTAATCTGAGCTTTTATTTAACTTCTCCATCCCGCTAATTTTGTGCAGAGAATCCGTTGTAGAAGAAAATGATTGGTGTGGCCTTGGAATGGTTTGTCCATCGGTTATTAGCCCCCCTTTATCGATGTTATGGAATAATAACCGTTAATGTGTATAGTAAATAGTCCAGCTTTATAAGGCACCACTCTGGCGACCAGTGATTTACATAAATGGAACATACTGGCAGCCATTGATTGAGTTCGTGCTGATATTGATTTGTGAACATTATTTACCTTCTCAGAGCTCCAGATAATCTTTTGGTGTTGTGGGTATTTTACCCATGCATTTTAAAATCATTGGGTATCAGTAATTCTATCTGGGTATTCAAATTTTTGTTACCCACTAGTTTTTACACATGTGGGTATTTAAGTTAAATATTTAAAAACACTATTCATCTAGTCCCTGCAAACTGGTGTCATGTGGGTTCGAGAGCTTTAAAGGACTCAAAAATACCACGATACGTCCACAAGAAAGTGCGATGGCAAATGATCATGATGTAACTGTCATCGTGGAGTTTGGCAAGGTTGACGGAATGCCCGTTTATAATTTCAAAATAAGTTGCTGATATGCAAATCGAATACGCATGGTTACTTCACAATATTTTGATGATACGCAAAAGTTTTATTTTTGTAGCGTATCTGTAATGTTCGTTGCGTATTTGATACGCTTGGATTTTATTTTACTGCGTATTTCTGCATTTCTGATGCGTATTTTACACAGATACGCAGCTTATCTGGAGCTCTGCCTTCTATAGTCAAAGCTAATTTTAATTGTACATGTAATAAAGCATCTTGGGTCATATCCCCATGTCTCTTTTCTTACCATTTGAATCAAACAAAATCTACGAATCCCGTGGATGTGTACTTTATCTCCAATTCGGAAAAAAAGGCGTTGGTAATATTAATCGGGTTATTAAGTGCAGAAGTGTCAAAACATTTCACTTCCATCCACATGGGGAATCCGGATAATATAAGGTCGCCAGTAAACGATGCGCAGTAGTCGAGAGTGGGCGACATAGTAGATAGGGTGGTTTGTCTGATTCAGACTCGAATATGTAGAGGCTGCTGTCATATAGCTTGAATATAGCCGAGTGCAGCCTCAAGAAAAAACAACGAACAAACATATACACTTGCACACAAACGTTTCATTGTTTCACATGAGGGATGACAATAGTCCGCTTTCCTTTATATCGTCGAGCAATA